TTCGCCTTTGCCTTCGCATTCGTCGAATTTCCAGTTACCTTGGACAACGACCATGACGTCGTCAACACGCTTACCAGAGCTGGCAAGCATAGTCACCAAATGGCGATTAGTGTCCTTGGCCCTAAGAAAGTAGCGTCCCTGCCAATCGAAAGATTTCGCCAAGGCATAATAGTGCCGAATAGCAAGGATTCCTAGGTTAATCCCAAGTTGGCGATTTAATTCTATTATGCCCATTATAATTCGGTAAAAATTATAATTACGGAAACATGGTCCGCAGAAAGGAGAGCTTTCAAGTGTTTCATCATTCAAATCGGAATAGAAAATGTACTAACTAAAAACGAACAAGAAAATGGGAGCTGGAATGAGGAAGAAATTTAAAGAGGAAAAGAACTTCCAAGTCAGAGAGAGAAGGACAGTGGGGAGCAGGCAGAAATCACAGAGGTCATGAAGAATGAATGATACTGTGAGACAACCAAAAAGCCTTGCATATTCAAAAAATATTCGAAGGGACAACGCGGTTTCATGTCACATTAAATGAGCAACGCGTACGAAGGGGCGAGAAGTTATAATGATTTCTAAATCATGTTCATTCTTGGAAGAAATGTGAGCGCCATATTTTTGACTTTCGACACGCAAAACCAAACCATCCGGTTAAATTAATGAGGAAAGGCCAAGCCATCCGGTTGATATCAGGCCGAAGACAATTCGGCCCTGACCAGGGGCTCGTGAAGTCAAGTATCCGAATTGGCCATATAAGGAGCCGAACGGGAGCCAACACTAAACTGGAAGGCCGACTAAGTAATTATGTCCAAGGTTAAGAGTGGGCCCAACCCTTGGGCCTAGACGTAATATAAAAAGGGAGGAATGTCAACCAAGAGGAGGTATGTGAAAACAAAAAAGATAACTTGAACTAGAAGTAAATTTGAGAGGATACTGGCTTATCCGTCGGAGTGCTAATTCCGACACCCCAGATTGTCCATCCTTTTTTCAGGTAGCAATCAGAGGATCAAGAGCATCTAACTAGATACAAGAGTATTTCTAAACCACTGTACCACACAGAGGAATGAAATTTGGTTTTTAGAAGAAGGCTGAGAGCTTGGGAGGAGGAAAATATTAATAGACTGTATGAGAGGTTAAATGTAGTACCTATAATCAGAGGGCAAATCGAAGATTGCTTGAGGTGGGAATTAGATTCAACAGGGTAGTTTTCAGTGGCATCAGTATGGAGGTGGTTTCAAGTAACTAAGGGGCTGAATCCGTGTATTATTAAATGGCTATGGAAGAATGTGACACCTCCTAAAATTCAGTTCTTTAGTTGATTAGCTTGGAGGGGAAGAGCGAAAACCTCAAATTTTTTGCATAGAATTGGGTGTTGGATGATGATGCTAGCACACTGTGTGTCTTTTGCAGAGAAGAAACTAATATAGAGAGTTTGGTCTGGAATTCTGAGGTAGTGGGATATGTGTTTGGTGATTCCTGGTTCTATTGAAGCCTTGCTACAATGGTGGGCAAGTGTTACTTTTAAGAAGAAGGAACTGAGTATTTGGAAGATTGTGCCATTATTATTACTGTGTTCAATTTGGAAATTGAGGAATGATATTATGTTCAATGGAGATCATCCGACTTGGAGGACATTGTGAAGAGAAGGATAGCTTTTTAGGCTAAGAGTAGTCTAGTAGGATTTTATTACTCAGTGCATGACTTTGTTTTCAATCTTAAACAGGTCAGATTTTGTTTGGGAGGGAGTGGCTAGGTGCATGGTTTCTTGAATTAGTTTTGTCTGTTTTTTTTAACTGTTTGGTTTGGTTGGTGACTAATTTGGTGGTTTGTTAATATATGATTGCGCTTACTTTGTGGTGTCAACATAGTTGAGATTGTAAAGTTTAACTATGATGCTATTTGCGCTCACTTTCTTCATCAATAAAATTTCCTTTTATCGATATAAAAAAAAAATCACGTGGATCTATGACATTATAAGTCCGTAAAATGAATTTATGGATTAAGACCCCAATTCTTTGTTATAAAACACTTTTTTTATATGCTGATGACTTAAAAACATTAATGACCACATCACTTGATTTTTAATACAATTAATATTTATTATTAGTCTCCTGAAACTATTAATTTAAAACCTTTTTTCAAGTGATTTTAGAAGGTTGAGTCCAACATTTGAGACCAACCTATACCCTCAATGATACTATTCATGAACCCAAGGGTTTGATTTAGTGGATGGAGAAAATAATTGAAGGGCTTACCCCCTAAGTTCGAATTCTATGAAGATCAAATATCTTATATCTAGGGATCATGGAGGTTTACTGTCAGTTACCTTCAAATTCTTAAGATTAATCAAGATGAACATAAATTGGACCCGGCATCCGAATATCAAAATAGCAATAATAACATACTATTCATGGTCCCTGATATTGGAGGGACAAATGAAAAGCATGTGATATGTAGGCTACATGATGAACCCCACCCAATGCTCTCCCACACCACCACATATATAATATATATTTATTTATTAATCGGATCATTAATTGGATCCGAATGAACTATGGTATGAGAGGGGTGTATTTTTTGCAGATAGAATTTTGTCACACTATGGTCTCTGAGTAGTAGCATTCTACACCTTTATTGTTGTCTTTTTAGAGCTTGCACGCTTGGATGTGAAGTGAAGTCACTTGATGGCTTTCTAGCCTCTCCTTTCTCGCACTCTTTATACAGATTTAATATTTTGGAAATATCATGTGTAATCATTATTTTTTTGTTATGTAGTATTTATAATCAATAATGTAGTAAAAAGTTTTATAAATGAGATAATATTATTTCAATTTTGTTAAGTAATTGAGAAATTATTAATAATAAGTAATTATTCAATAGTTCTGAAACATTATGTGACAATCCAATGTTTTAAAAATCGAATCGGAGAGCGAATCGAAAGAGTGATCTAGTGAACGGAACTATTGGGTTAAACCAGAATTGAACCACGACATTATAAATATATTAAAATTATATTTAAATAAAAATATAAGTAATAAAATTATAAATTTAAAAAAATTGAAAATATTAAATTATCTTAAATATTTCTCCTAATATTTTTTTTACTAAAAAATATAATAATATATTTTAAAATATTATTAATTTTAATTTTGAAAGAGGAAACCAAATATTTAATATTCCCTCCATATTATTTTAATTCAAATAATTTCATTGAAAGAAGAGCAAAAATTTTGAAAGGATATCAAAATTTCAAGTCTCCCTCTAATAATAAATTTGATTGAATCCCACATAGATTTTTCGAGTTTTTTTGGAACAATTTTTTTTCTTATAAATAGGTAGAGACTTTCACAATAATTTCAAACTTTCAATCCCAACCATTCAAATGAAATGTATCTCTTATACATTTTAACATATTTTCAAAAACCTTCCTCCCTTATTATATAGATATATATATATATATATAATAACAAAGAAAGAAAGAATAAAAAAATAGTTACAAAATATAAAATAAAAAAAAATCAAAAATTTTAATTTCTTCAACTCGGCCGGTTTGCTTGACCCGTCCCCGAGTCACCTGGTTCGACCGTCCAACTACCGATTTTTCCAATTATCTCTAAATAAGACAGTTTTTAGGTTGGAACGGTTTAAGGATATATCTAGACTAGAACCCGACCGATCGATGGTTCAACTGGCCAGTCCAGACCAGTTTTCAAAACTAGAGGACAACCAATCAATTAGGTGAAAAATTTTATGCGCAAATGAGACATGTTAACTCATCATTATTAGTTAATTAGGAGACAAAATATAATTTACATAGCAATTTCACATTGACAATAAATATCACATAATATTTCAGAAATATATCTAATAATTCTTCAAAAACGATATAATTTATTTTGCAATTCTTCATTTGTTGTGAACACAAAAAAAAAAAAAATTTAATTAGCAAAAAACTCTTTATTGATGATAACAAAACAAAATACATTCTGATATACATCAACAAAGAGGGAAGACAAGAGCCAAAAGCATCAACTCAAGCCTCTCAAAACCCAGCTAGATTGGAGAGAAACCAACCAAAGAGGGAACAAACAAAACAAAAACAAAGGAACAAAGGCTTCTACAAAATGAACAGCAAAACAAACCAACCACAGCAACACCCACACAACAAACCAATGCAAAAAAACCAGCAGATCACAGCACTGCCACACTCCAATTTGTAAACCAGATAATCCCACAGATCACTCAAATAAGAGACGGCAAAAAAGAGACTGAGCAGAACAAAAACATAACAACGCAGATGCATAGAACAGGTCAGCACAGGCTGTAGAACAGATCTCCAATAACAAGCACAAATATAAGCAGAAGGACAGTACAACAATAGTAGGCCAATATGACACCATTCAAGAACTCAATTCATTGTTAAGCCTATATAAGCATAGAAACAGAATTTGACTCCTTCCCCAGCAAATTCTAGCAAATTCCTGTAGTGACAAACCAGATGGACTACCAACAATCCCTCAATCAGAGGAGCAACACAAAAAATACCCCCTTCATGTTCTTCCAACCAAAACACCAGCAACTGCCCAAATTTACACTTAGTGACAAAACCCACTATTGAAAACCTGGTTTGATTTAAACTAGGCAAAAAAAAATCATGCACCCCATCTCAACCTAGTGCACATACCTGCTGGCAATAAGATGTTTCTAAGCCCATAGCATATTTTTGATCTACAAATCTCTGATCTATTGGATCCTCACTACAATCTGATTTGGTAGAGATTGGATACTATGTCTTGGATTGAATAATCCACCTTCAAGTGACATTTGGACCATAAAGCTACCTGCACCTTAACTTTTTCACAAAATACTTGGAGGTCAGGATGCGCACCCTTAAATAAGCATTGATTTCTCAATTTCCATATTGACCATAAGACAACAGAGGGAATAATCTGCCAGACTTTGAGTGCCCAAGACTTGAATTTGAACCTGCCATCATTTCACTATTGCAGCAAGCCTTCTACAGAACCTGGAATAGCCCAAACCTGGTCCCACCACTTTACCATGTGAAACCAGCACTTCCACACCAGAGGACAAAGTAGAAGCACATGTACAACAGTTTCCATCTCAGCTTGGCAAAATACACACAAATTATTAGCACTCGTATCAAGAGCCCCAATTCTTTCAAGGAAGGTTAAGGTTTTAACCCTGCCTCGCCAAGCCAACCAACAGAAAAGCTACATCTTTGGAGGGACCAAACTCACCCACACCCCTACTGAGATTGCCAGACCAAGCCCACTAGCTGCAGCTCTCCATCTCCACACAGAAGCAACTGAAAACTGCATTGACCTCTTTGCTAACGAAGAGCAAGAGTCCTCAACACCAACTCTGAGACTAAGAGATAAGAGCAACATGCCTAACAGCCTCTACAAATCCTCTTCTTCCCAAGCTAAATTGAAGCTGTCATCCTCCTAAGGCACCAAACTTTGCTCTAATCTGCTGCAAAGAATCCTCTTTCTCTGTGGATAAACTGAACAATCTAGGAAATTCAACCTTCAAACCTCTGCTACCTAACTAGGAATCATACCAGAACTTTGTTCTCCTCCCGTTGCCAACTATGATTTTGACTTGGTCTCCAAAAAATTCACCCAGTTGCTGATTAGCCACAGATAACTATGAGATATCCTTCCAAACTATTGAGACCCCTATTGACTGATTTAATGTAGGTGTCCATCCCCCACCAATTTTGCCATACCTAGAGTAGATCACTGATTTCCACAGAGCTTTATCATCACTGCCATACTTCCACCACCACTTCAGCAGCAAGCATTCATTTACCTCACTTAAGTCCCTCACTCCCAAACCTCCTTGATTCTTGCTTTTTGTGACCTCCTTCCATTTGACCATGTGCACTTTCCTGTTAGTAGCAGAACCTCCCCATAGAAAATTGGCCTGAATCTTAGAAATAGACTTGACAACCCCCTTTAGCATTTTAAAGATAGAAAGAAAGTAGATAGGCAAATTGGACAAGGTTGATTTGATGAGAGTCAATCTACCAGCAAAAGACAACAGTCTCCTCTTCCAAGAAGAGAGCTTCTTCTGAAACTTCACCACTACTAGAGACCAAGTGCTCTTTCTTCTGGGATTGGCCCCTAAAGGCAAGCCTAAAAAATTAAGAGGCAGTTTTTTAGGCAAACAATTCAACACCTTAGCAAATTCCTTAGTTTGGTCTTCATGATAGCCCACCCCATAAACCACACTTTTGTGGAAATTTATTCTTAAACCAGATATCACCTCAAAACTCTCTTAGTGTTCAAGACTTCCTTCATGCCACCTTCACAAAAAATGATAGTATCATCTGCAAATTGAAGATGTGAAATACCAAACTGATCAGAGCCAACTGATGCACCCTTAATCAGGCCCTTCTCAATAGCCCTTTCCAACAAAAGATTAAGGCCTTCAGCTACTACAATGAACAAAAATGGAGATAGAGGGTCACCTTGCCATAACCCCTTCTGTGGTTGAAACTCCTCTGTAGGTGCACCATTAACTAATGTAGACACCATAGTTGTTGTAATACAAGTCTTCATCCACCTAATCCACCTAGCACCAAAGCCAAAATTACCCAACATTGATAGCAAAAATTCCCAGCTTAATGAGTCATAGGCTTTCTCAAAATCCAACTTCAGGATGATGCCTTTCTTCTTAACTTTGTGCCACCCATCTACAACTTCATTAGCTATCATCACACCATCTAGAATGTGCCTATGTAATGACCCTCATTCTTGTTGTAATGACCCTCATTCTCATCTTAGCCATGTTCATGTGCATTTACATGATTTTGTCTTGTTAAGCTTGCATTTGCAGATTTTGACTTGTTTTGCCTAGGTAAAGGTCCCTGTCTTGTTTTGTGCTTATGTGATTTGCTTGAGTATTGCTTGTATGCTTTGTTCCTTGCTTGGTGTGTTAAGCCTAGGTCACACCCTTGAACCTCTTATACCTATGACCATCTTGGAACCACTTTGGCTGACCTCCACCTTCACCCTGGCATATTGGCCGAGATTTCATCATCTAGGCAGAGGTGTGCATCACCTAGGCCGAGATGTGTATCATCTAGGCATCCAACATCCTTGATCCTTGCACCTAGTGATCTGGTTCCTGGACTGGTATGACCTAGACTGAGGTGTGGCACATCTAGGCCGAAGTGTGGCACATCTAGGCCGAGTGTTATCCTTTCTAGCCGAGATCATTGAAACCTTCTCGCCCGAAGCCTATGTCTTGATCCGAGGTCATTGCCTTGTCAAAGTGCCCTTGTCACCTTACTTGTTGTACACCCTTTGTCATGCTCTTGTCTTGTCATTCAGTCACCTTTTCAGGAGACCTAACCAGGCGTTGCCACGTGTCCCAGCAGAGAGTTAAGTCAGTAAGCTATTGAGGAAACATATCATTTGCTATATTTTTGCCTAGAAGAGTGAGAGAAGCTCTAAGAAGAAGGAGAATGTGTTCTTAGAGTGAGAATAGATTTCCAAGCTTGATCCTTAAAGTTTGAACCGTTAGATTCGTGTTTTGAGGTTAGATTCTTGATCTACTCTAATTGTTCTTAATGTTGATCCGATCACATTGCATAATCTAGCATGATTCATGAGCCATGCATTGATTTAAAGTTTGTTTTAGAAAGAGAAAATGATGTTCATGTGTTCTTGAAGAAAAGCCTTGTTTTGATCTGAAAGTTTATAACAAGTTTCATGTTTTGTGCTTGTTTTCAAGAGATCTTCAACTACGGGTACCCAGGTCCATATTTTTGAACTCATCTCATGAAATCTCAGATTTTGAATAAAGAAGTTATGATTTTGGCATTCACGTTCTTCATGTTCATGTTCTTCATGTTCTTCAAGAGGAAACCCAGATTTTCCAAACTTCATTTCCCTAAGTGTGGTCACCGAGACCCACTCTTGCCTAGATCTCACACCTAGGCGAAGCATCGTATCTCACTTTGGCCTACCTTGCATGATCACTTGCACCTTAGTCTATCTTGCATGCGCACCTAAGCCTAGGAGACCACACCTCGACCATGAGATGTGGGACCTCGGCCAAGACCTGGTTGGTACCCAGCATGTTTTCCCGAGATGAAAAATAATGTTTTAACTCCCAACACATGTTTTGCTTTGTCTTGACTTAGTTTTGAAAGAAAAGCCGGGATCATTTACACTCATGTAAAGCTTGTTTTAGGGATGCATTGCGTAGCCATCTTTTGAGCATTCCTTCTTGTCTTCTTGAAATACATTCAGTGGACCTTGCCATGTATTTGTAGGTCTTGGATTCTTGCCTTAATCCTTACACCCGAAGAGTTATGTGAGTGGTATTTTTAATAAAGCTATGTTCTAATGTTTTGATAAAATCTTTGCTTATTTCGTTTTGGAAAAGTATTTGTTCAAGTATGAATGATTATTCCTAGTTTTGTATCAAGTGCTATCTTGTTTTGATGATATTCTTGGAAAGTCCTTAGTGCTAGGAGACTATAATGCAACTAGTACCCTTATTTGAGATATCTCCCTTGTCACCGACGGCCTTATACGGGTGGGTTTGTCTGATCAATTCTGGGTCGATTATTCCCTTGTTTTGTCAGGAATGTCATCCCTTGTATTATGTTGATGCTAGTAAGCATCCATTGAAGCTTTGAAAGACTTGATAGATGAACTTGGTTCATCCCTTGATTTTGTACAAGATATGTTATGTATTGTTTTGATAAAGATCTCAAATATCATTCATTCAAACATTTATTGCTAATATCATTCACTGAGTATCCAAGCTCACCCTCTCCTTTATATATATGTAGGTGACGAGCTAGAAGGTGGCGACGTCTAAGATGTTATTTGCAAGATGTTTTGGATCCATGTTTTGTTAGCATCTTGAAGATCATGCTTCTTAGTTGTAGTTCGTCTCTTACATATGTCGACTTGAGAAGCCTTTTGATCAAGATGTATCATGTACCTTGTTTTATTTGTATTCAAGTTGTAAAACCATGTCCTGATCTATGTCATTTCATTTGACTTATGCACACCTCTTATGGACTAATTAGATTTAAATTATTGCTTCCGCACATGTAAACCCTATATGTATACTCTTATTATGTGAAACTTTCCAAGTTGGCCTATGGTAATCTCGGATTACTGGCCATCATGGCACCATTCTACTAGGGGCGGAATGGGGTTGTGACAGCCTACCACTGACAAATACTTACTGCACCTCACTAATCATAGCTGAGAGAACCTGCTTCACTCTTTTGGACAACACCTTGGCCAAGATCTTATAGATGGAGCTGACCAAGCTAATTGGCCTATAGTCTCCCAATCTTGAAGAATTATCCCTCTTAGGTATAAGCACAATGAATGAACTATTAATCCCAGTTGATAGTTTAGCATTTGTGTGAAATTCATGAAACATTCGAACAATCTCACTTTTCATAACAGGCCAACACTTTTGAACGCATGCTAGATTAAAACCATCTGGTCCTGGGGTCTTGTTCCCATCACAATCTTTAAGAGCTGCCCAAATCTCATCTTCCGAGAACACTGCTTCCAAGTTAGCTGCTGCCTCTGAGCTAATAACGTCAGAAGGACCTGAAATCTTTGGCCTCATGGACCAATTCTCTGAAAATTGTTGCCTAAAATGCCTAACCACAGCCAGTTTAATCTAAGCATGGTCCTCAAAGCACACCCCCTCCACACAGACTGAATCTATCAAGTTCTTTCTCCGTCTCCTGCTAGCCATTATGTGGAAAAACCTAGTGTTTTTATCACCATTTCCAGCCCAAAGCATTCTGGACTTTTGATGCCACAACCTTTCTTTATCTCTGCTTAATTTCCACACTAGACTTCTAGCTTCTCTTCTTCTTCTAATATCCTCATCAACCAGAGACCCAGATTCTACCTTCAGATCCCAATCATGCAACTCCTCTTCAGCTGACTTTAAAAGAGAATCAATATTACCAAACACCTCATTGTTCCACACCCTTAAATGAGATCTTAAATATTTCAGTTTCCTCATGAGTCTAAACCCTGCCCATCCTGACACATGATTGTTTTCCCAAAGCTGTTTAACTCCAAGCATAAAGGTAGGATGTGAAAGCCAAGGATTTAAGAACTTGAAGGGTTTGGGGCCCCAATCCCTTTCATCCTCCTTCAACAGAATTAGACAGTGATCTGATATGGTTCTAGGTAAACCCCATTGCTTAAAAGAGAACTTTTCTAGCCACCTAGAATCTAACAGAAATCTATTTATTCTGCTCCATCTTTCCCCATCCAATGCATTACACCAGGTAAACTGTCTACCTAACATAGGCAGATCCGTTAATTCCAATTTGTCAATAAGCTCATTAAAATCCTTCATTTCCCTCTCTCTTCTTGAACACCCTTTCCTCTCACTGTTGTGAACACAATGTAAATAATATCAAATGGTACAGAATTATCTAATAATTTTTCCTTCATAGCATCTCTAAGGGGATAGTTAAAAAAAACTTGTTAAGCATTTTAGCCAATATAACTCTAATTTTGAGCTCCAATGGACTGGCTATTGGGCTAGTTACTTTACCATCTTACTTTTTTGGTGGCTACAATTGAAGAGCCCCAGAGGCTCTCTAAACAAATATGTATGTATATATCTTAGATTTTTGTATATTTATATCTTGGATTTGGGATTTTATATATTATGTGTGTGTGTGTGTGCGCGCGCGCGTGCATGTGTGTAGCAATTTTATATGTTCTTTCAATTCTGTTTAATGAATTACGGAATAACTTATTTTGTATTTTGTATTTTTTTTTCTCCTCATTTTACAAGTTTGTATGTTTGTATGTTTGTATGGACAAATTTATTATTATTACCAGCAATTAATATTTTTTATTTTAAAAATTAATTAAGTTAGTTTGAATGATTAGCTAAAATAAAGAGTGTGATTAAAAAACACAATAACTAAAATAACTAGATAAAATAAAAAATATACTTTTTTCATACTGCTAGTAAAAAGTAGAAAGTGTAGTTAGAGTTGATAATTTGGCCCCCTTTTTCCTTCATAAAAGAGCTCTATTTATCCCCTATCCAACATTGTCCTCTTTTGCTGGACTAGCGATAGTAATACTCTCTCTCTCTCTCTGTCTCTCAATGACTCCTGCCTATCTGAACTCACCACCTTCACCTTTTCCTTTCCTAGAGCTGAAAGATGATCAACAATTTCACTTCTTCATTCCACGACACCAAGCTTTATCTTCTCTCGCATCCTCTATTGTTTTCATTATAACCCAAGATCAGACACCAAGTTACCCTGGAGAGTGCCAAAAAAATCACCAAAAGGCAAGAACAATTCAGTTTATTTGACTAGATTATAATCTTCATCTTCTATACATGCACTTTTTTCCAATCCATTCCAAAAAAAAAAAATCTCATCTACTGTCTTTAGGATTGCATGTCTCATCCCTTGATGATCTTTTATGATCTTAAGCCTCGTTTGGAAACAGATTATTTTAGCAAGTTTTTAGTTTTTTACAAAAATATGTGTAGAAAAGTAAAGAAAGTAATGTGACAATTTAAAATAACTTTCTAACTTTTTGACTAAAATATATAGTTAACAAATGAGACCTTAGGCTCTAATAATCACTTCCCATGATGAGTATTTGGGTAGTTTTAAATCCACAAGTTTTTCATATATATCATCATGATCTTCACCCAATAATTATCTTATTTGGTCATAGGGTTTATAATGAGTACTATGATTTTATTTATTTATTTATTTATTTATTTTGTAATTTGACCTCTCAATCTCTTTCTTGCTCTTAGGCTGACAAGTACATTTTCAATGCTAGATCAACCGATAATCGAGTAATACAATCTTCTTCAGTTTATCTAACAGTTGATAGTACTGAAGACAACGGTGAATTATCTGTTTCCAAGCTTGATGATGAAGATCAAAATAAAAGAGATAAGGAGTCACCAAAGTGTATCTTCAAAGATGAGGATGATGCGAAAAATGATGAACACGGGTTGCGTTGCGAAGGAACTGATGAGCAAGAGAAAATCGCGCATAATAAGTTTCATGATCAGCAGCATGGCAATATTAGCGAAAAAAATTCATCAAACAACAGTTGCAACACAATTCATCATTAGAGTTTGTTCTGAATGCAACACAACCAAAACCCCTCTTTGGAGGAGTGATCCTCAAGGTCCCAAGGTTACTTTTCTCTATTCCCTCCTTAATCTAACTATATAAGCAAGGAGTTTTCTTAAGTGTGCAAGTGCACACCATGTGCCACTTACACAAAAAGTGTAAGTGTAAGGTGTAAGTATAAGTATAAGGTGTAAGTGTAAGGTGTAAGTGTAAGGTGTAAGGTGTAAGTGGGTTGCACATGGTGTGCAACCTCAAAAAAGGTGTAAGTGTAAGGTTTAATTTTTTACAAAAGGTGTAAGTGTAAGGTGTAAGTGTAAGGTATAAGGTATAAGGTGTAAGTTGCACACCATAACCAAACCCAAAAAAAAAAACAAATAGAGAGAAAAACCATCATACTTTATTATATAGGACAAAGATGGGATCATGAGATCATAAAAAGATGGGTGAGTAAAGAAAAAAGTAAGAGAGAGAAGCGGGAAAATAGAAAATGTACATGTAGGATATTTTTTGAAAAATATATCTCAGCCATTGTTTTATAATTTCAATAGATATGAGCCGTCTAAATGTCCTAGTCGGACAAATGTGTGTAAGACAAATTTAAAAATCATCCTACTTTTATATACACTAGCGTATGCTTGTGCCTGGAGGCACAGTGTAAATAATGTTAGGATTAGAATATAATTGTAATCCCAACACAATTTTAAATTTATTTTTTAATTTGATAAAATCACAAATTTATTATAAAATTTTGGAGTTCTCACAAAACTCCTTACGTGTGAAAACCCATCTTTAATTATTCCTTAAAGAAAATAAATAAATAAATTAATTAATTAATTTTGTCTACAGTCTATCTGAATTATATATTAGTGTAAAAGTTAGTTTTAAATTGACTCAATTCAATCACTAACAAGACATTATAAAAAATAATAATTTTGTGGGTGTTCAATATTTGTTGTTTATAAATTATTTTAATTAGGATTCAATATAATAATTATTCTTACTAAATACCTTAGTTAAAAATCTTAGTGTGTCAATT